GCTGGAAATCAGATACAGAACTGAAGCTGATATAGGGACAATGTCACTGCAGTTACCAGTGCTAGTCTAGAGTGGATAAAGAAAGGAGCTTTGTCGCTGCGGCCTTGATTGCCCCGAGTTCTCCGGCCATCTCCTATGCAGGCCTGCCTCTTCAGTCGTGCTGATCCTAGCGACCGCCTGATGGCAGTATTGTCTCTAGCAGGCCTGTGTACCCGTTCGCCGAGTGTGGTGGGTCCTCCGTTGCTGGATGATTGCCCTGTCGCCAAACTGCTGGATATATTTTTTTCATCAGGCAGCCAAAAAACTGGCTGAAGAGGCAGTTCATTCTTCAGAAAAGAGGCAGTTCATTCTTCAGAAAAGAGGCAGTTCATTCTTCAGAAAAGAGGCAGTTCTGTAGCATTGTTAGATTTTCATATGTGATGCTCAGCGGGTGATTATTATCAAAGTCAACGATTGTATTTCAGGGGATGGTGGACCCGTTTTTCAGCAGGTGATGCTCCCCACCAATAGACTGGAGCCCCGTGTGTGACAGGTAGGGGTGTATGCTCTTATCATCACTCCTATCTGTTATGACGGTTTCAAAAACAAAAAAAACAAAACAAAAAAAAAAATTGCTGCAGCCTGCCGGTGATCTCATTGTTCCTGAATCCACTGCTCCCGCAGTCCCTTCCGTACCATTGGAGTTAGTTCCGTCTGTTTCGTCCTCTGTTTCTTTCATTCTCTCTCGACATTCTTGCAATCAGACTTGCTTTGTTTGCCACTTCGCATACATGCAAACAGATGGAGATTCACACTGGCGCTTAGCGGCCACTCAAAGCTCAGAGATATGGGAGTCTGGAACACAGTTCGGATGCAAGCTCGAAACAACAGGCTATGGCGCGTCAGCGCCGGTTCACTCAACTCTCGTAACTGTTTCCAACACCACTGTTCGCACCGACACTCAACTGAGGATCACCCTGGATATCCCACACGCGTCACACTGTACACACACACACACACACACACTACACCCTACTCTCAACTATGGCGGCTATGGGCGCTACTACCCCTACTGGCTATGGTTACTATCTCTCCCTCAAGCCCACTTCGTCTTCGGGCGCTCTGCAGACCACCTCGCACAAGTCGCTGTAGCAGCGCTTCCGCATGGCTTACGCAGGAACGAATGAATGGCTGGGCTCTGCCTCTTGATTTTTACTTCTGTAACTCGTTGGTCTGCCCCTTTCCATCGGCCCATGGTGCTCACAGTCCCTCATGGTACTTGCTGGACTGGACTGGGACTGACTGGACCGGTACCGCTGACTGCATGGGTTTGCACTGCTAACTCGATGCAGTGGCACTGCCGACGTACCGCAGTTGGGCTCGCCACTTGCCCACTTGCCTCTGTCTAAAACGTGAGCAAACTCCGAAAGGCCACTTCCGGACCTTCCGGAAGTCTGTGGACTTGGCCTTTCGGGACTGTAGCAGCTACGACCTTGACCTTTCAGGACTGTAGCAGCTACGACCTTGACCTTTCAGGACAGCTACAGCTACGACTTCTAGAACTTGCTAAGACCTCTATCTGACAGGTCTACAGATCGACCCCTACAACCTACGGACCTACGACAGCCTACCAACTGCTGCGAACACACAGGTCACGGGTTCAACTTTCAGGGTCGACACAGGTACTGTACACGGGTAAGGTAAGGACTAGGGATCGAGCCCTGGGATCTGCATTCGCTACTGCTAACAGGTGAATACCGTTTCATTCTCTTCCTCTCCTTGGTTGATGGGGCGAAACACGCCAGGTTTCACATATTTTGGAGAGCTCCGTAGCTCCGTTGAAAACACTTGGATGAGTAAGGGCGTGACTCGAGTATTAGATGATTACTCCTGTGACATCTAGAATTTGCTTTCCTTCTTGTTAGCTTCGTTGTTTTCGTTATCGTTTGCATTTTTGTGAATGCTGTGATGTCGGGATTTCTTCAATCTCATGCACTGATTAAAGGGATGAGAATTGTTAAAAACAAAAAAAAAGGGATCAGAAACTAGGGGGGGTTCCCAGACGCCCGGGCACCCAACTTGTGCCCAGATACACGCCCAGGTGCCCGGCGGGCATGAGCCCCGGGGAAGGTTCCAGGTAGCCCCAGCGCCCAAAAAAAAAAAGAACGAAAAAGAAAATGTTGTGTAGAGTTGCAATGCAAACGACTTTGGGCTGAGGGGCACATGAGAATTCCTCCCTGAATAGAAGACAAAAAATAAAATGGCATCAGTCCCAAGGGAATGCAGTGGGTGACGGCACTGTTGCCCTTGCGATATCTAGGGGTCAAGATCATGGATTCAGGCCCCCATCACTCGTTGGCTCCAGAGATACTAGCGAAGATCCTCACCAAGCTGGGTGCGTGGTCGGAGATCTACACTTCGCAGTATGGCCGAGCACTAATAGTCTAATACTGAACGCCTCCATCTTTTCCATGCTTCATTACGTTGGAACAGTCTGGAGCCCCCCATCTCAGACAGGGAGGGTGCTCCTACGTAAGGCAGCCGCCTACTTAAGGGCAGGGAATCCCACCAAGCCCCAATCATATTGAGAGTAGCCTGGAAGCACATCATCAGAAAAAAAAGAAGCAGGGGGGTCCAGGTATTCTAGACCCGGAGCAGCAACTTAAAGCCCTTCAAACCAAGTGGGTGGTTAAGCTCATCACACATCCCCATCTGCCATAGGCGCCTTTGGCCTTAGAGCACATCCGACGTTTGGCGAAATACAAAACCCCCTCTAACATGTCCGGGTCATTCTGGATCACGTGCAAAACCTGGGCAAAAATGGGCCAGGAAGGGGGCGGAGTAACAGCCACAGAGGAGGGAGTAAGGGGGGACTCTTATTTTGCGCAGCTGATCAAGATCTGGGGAGACATTTTTCCAGCCAAGGTAAGGGAGCCCCGCACCAGGGAGGAGGTGCTCCGTCAGCCCCTCTTCTGTAACCCCTCGATCAAGGAAGCCCAGGGCAAGCCACACACACTAACCTCAAGGGATTTCAAGTGGGGCACATGGGTGGAACACGGTGTATGGTAGGTCAAGCACCTCTGGTCGGAGGAGAGACAACGTTCGAAGACAGCATGTGAACTTCGGGCGGAAATGAAAGGAAGCCACAAACTACTAGAAAACCTCAATGACGTCCTTATTTCCATCCCAGCAGATTGGAGGAGGCTAGTGGAAAGACGTCCTCAGTGGACCGCCGGAGATTGGGCCACATGGCAACACGAGGAAGCACAAACAGCAGCCCTCCGTGTAGGGGGGCAGGTGGGACCGGGGGGAGAGTGGCTGTCCACGGAAATGTATCCACTAGAGAATCCGGCTTCCACTACCAGCCTCCTGGACAAAGCAACTGTACCCTGGTCACTATACATCTGGAGGCAGCTCGTAAGGTACGAGTGGTAGAGACGGAGAACTTTACCACTTACGCCCCGACAACCCCGTAGAGTGGGCATGGAGTCTCAGAGGGGGCATGTTAAAGGAATCCAGACGAATCAACAAACTACACTACACAACCAGGCTGGGCTACCAACTCAAAAGACACTCTTACCCCCTATAGCAACGCCCTTAGCTAAGTGGTGGGAGGAACGGATGGGAGTAACGGGGGGGGGCACAATTACCCCACCTATGATGGTCCATGCTGCACACCATACAGCTGGGCAGGGTCAGGAGCGTGCAATGGCTGATCTATAGACATCGTACTACCGGTGAATGCATGGATCTACGAGCGCCGGAGCAAGCAACACAGGGACCCCGTGCAGGCGCTCTGTGCGCTGTGTACGGAGAGGCCCCGGGAAACAATGCTGCATTGCCTACTGACATGCCCCAAGGCAGCTTATGCATGGGGCCTAGCTAAGGCCTTCTCTGGACGGACTTCAGACACTCCCTATCCGGAGGATGAGGTATCACTGCTGCTGGGGGCGGAAATCCCCAGGCCATGGCATCATTTTCAGAAGCATACATTTCAGCTTTTAAGGCAGTATATGCGCTTTGGACCATCTGGAAGCGGAGGTGCCAGCAGACGACCGGGAAACGGCAGATGGACAGACAGGAAGCACAGGACATCTACTACAACCTGTTGGAAACAGACATCCGAGCTCAGTGGCAACGGGTATGAAGAAGGCAAGCCCAGCAAAACCCGGAGCAGGCCTGGGACTTGATAAACCGGTTCCAGCGCGCGGTGTTGGGCCAAGGCAAGGTGGCAACAGTCGACGGGCCCAGACTCCAGTTCCAGTGGTACTCAGCCAGAGCAAGTTCGTCACTCCGGGAACTTACTCACAGGTCAAGAGAACCCCCAAGGGTTTAGGCTTCAAGGAGTGGGAAAGCATGGGGGTAGTAAAAGGGACGCTGGACCCGGTTTTCCCAGCAGGGGAGGGGCTAGGGTTTAGGGTTTATCGGGCGGATGCTTTCTCTAAGCTCTTCAGCTGCAGGCTTGCACCTACGTTGTTAGTCCAGTTTCTCTGTTTTTTCAACTTATTTCTGAAGTTTGTTTTGGCATTCGGACGCTGGACCCCCCCTCTCCCTCCAGCCTCGAGCTGAAGCTGGGTAATGGCCCCAGTATTCCTTCCAGGTTGAGAGGTGGAGGAATTGCCGGCCTCCTTGTTTTTTTTGGGTATAATTACGATAATACAAAGCAAACTTCCTTTGAAAAAAAAAAAAAAGACAAAAAAAAAGACAGAATCAGAGTCTATCAGACTAAAAGGCACCCGACTTTCAACCCCCTTTTAGCCCCTTTAAAACCAATTTATACCTCCCTTTCTGCCCCCTTGACAGCCAACAGGCCCAACACTAAAAAAAGGGGTCCGGATTTGGGCTCCTCTGGGCATGCGCAGAAAACCCCCACCCGGCAAAAAAGGGGAAAAAAAAAGGCCCCACTCATTGCCACGCCCGGGGTACCCCAGGCGACACGCGCGGGTGCCCGGCCAGGCGTGAGAATCTTCCTAGCTGAGAAATATTACTCATGAGGTTTATTTCGTTGGCTATTCTTGCAGGGTGGTGGTGATCTCATCCGTGCAAGGCGAAGGAATGCTGGCCAGAATGAATGCCACGATGAGGCGGATTGATTTGTCTTGTCTCCTTCTCGCCCCGGTCGCTGTTGGTTTCTTGATGAGCTTCTTGTCCATGCTTTCTGCAGCAATCGCTATAGCTACATGGAACCTGGTCTCTTTTTTCCTTGAGTCATATCTTCTGTACCGTGTTTATATAGCCGAGCCGGCGCTTGCGTTGCCTCGGGCGGTCGACAGCTCAATAATACTGAAAGGCGATGCTGCACAGATTCCCTCAATTGACGCCGGTGATGACGGCTTGAAGCGCAGAAACTCGAGATGTGGTGGTTGTGGCATTACTGCGGATGTCGAGCACGCTGCCGTCGACTCGGGGATTGGAAGCTGTGTTCAAGGACATTCGACGGACAATGCAAGTGCGGAATTGAACGAGCCACTTTTGCAAGGCACAAGGGTTTCGGCGGCTGCAACAGGCATCCGCTCACCTAAACCCACATTGAAAGCTGACACAAACGATAGTTTGAAGAAGCTGCGAGAAGGTCTAAGGATATATTTTCGGCAACCCTCCCTTCTTCCATCATTGGCTTTGGCTTGCCTTTACTGCACTGTTCTGAGGTATGTTCACAGCCCATACATACCTCTTTAGCCTGCGCAGCATGCCTTTTTTTTTTCTTTTCTTTTTTTTTTTCCAACACTCCCAGCCCTCTTCTATTCTGGGGGCCAATGCCTGTGATTCTTAAAAAGTTCCCTTTTTTTTTTTTTTTTTTTTTTTTTTTAACACTCCCAGCCCCCTTCTATTCTGGGGGGCGATGCCTGTGATTCTTAAAAAGTTCCTTTTCTTTTTTCTTTTTTTTTTCAAAGGATGACGGCCTTGAGATATCTCATCTGGTCGGGCCCAAGCAATTCACAGTTGTTTTTCTCATCTGATTGTGTGACAGGATTTGAACTCAGGTCTGTCTATCAAGAGTTAATGGGTGTACCACTCAGCCACATGGGCTGGGTATGTCGCTGGTTGTGACTCACTGACCAATTGCTCTCCGTGTGTGCATCTATATAGCCTAGAGCCGTAGAACGGCTATCAATGATTGCCTTTTATAGGACGGTTATACGTGTGGATGTCAATAGCCCAGAAGCAGTGGTACCCTTGCTCCCCTAAGACCTGTTTATCATTCATTAGGAAAAAGAAAAAGAAAAAAAAAGTGATCTTCCCTGCGATGAAATGGTAGTGGCGGCAGTGGTAGTGATGGTACTGGTGGTTTGGTGGCTATCGTTCTTTTCTTTTTTTGTTAAGTGGGTAACCCTTAACAGTATTGCATCCAGTTGGAATCGAGCTTGTGATCTGTTTATTAAAAAACAGCTGGATGTGTCTCATTCAGTCACTAGACATACCTACCGATGATTATGCTCATTGTTCTGTCGTTTACGTGCCTTTGAAAAGGACATCATGAGCTGCTCGACATGTGCTGTTTTTCTTCTTGCCAGCTTTCACTCTGCAATGGTTGCGTTTCTCACGCTGAAGAACATCTCGTTTCGCGTTATTGATAGTCACACTCATACTCCGAAAAATGCAGATGAGAAAAACGAGGTTGCTATGAGCTACGAGGCTACGAGTTATTTTACTACTTTCGATGAAAATTTTAATTTTGTGCTCTACGCTGTGTACGATGATGCTCTGTGTTTGCTTTGCTTTCGTATGTAATATGTATGCTGTCTAAGTGCCTTCCAAGTTCCAAGTCTCACAGCGGTGACAAACGTCATGGAAAGGGGTACATTTTGTAATTGTTCTGTTGTTGATGTGCCTTCGTAAAAATGGACATGAACTGATCGACATGCGCCGCTTTTTCTGCCTTTTTGCAGCTTTCACTCTGCAATGGTTGCATTTCTCAAGCTCAAGAACATTTCACCTTTCACGTTATCGATAGTCCGAGGTCTTGCAGCGGTGACGGGCATCATGGCAACTGTTACGTTTCCGTACATGAGGGCGCGGTTTCTTACGGTCAGGACAAGCCTGCATTCAATTTTTATGCAGGTTTGTTCGGAAGCTCAAAAAAAGAAAAGAAGCATAAATGCATTAAATGAGATATGAAATTGTCAATCTAATACCTAGTAATAAGTAATATAATAATAATAATAATAGTAATAATAATAATAATAATAATAATAATAATAATAATAATAATAATAATAATAATAATATCAATAATGATGATCTTGGAGTACCTGGGGCTGGTCACCTATGGATATATCACAAGACTGTCGCCCTTTAAACCACCACTACCTTTCTCCTACATCAGCCGCAGGCCGGTACCCGCAAGTTTCGGAGACGGGAAACGAAAAGTAGGCCGCCGATGATTTTTTTAAACAGCGGCCTACTTTTGGCCCAGTCGCCGAAGAATGCGGTGAAGGCTATATTCCCACTTTTCCCAACACTGTGAAAGGTAGCGGCGGCTTAAAGAAAAAAGGGAAAAAAAAAGCAAAAAAGAAAAGAAAAACTTCAAAAAAGGTTTGTTTGTTGCCTTGACGTTCTTAAACCACACTTACCCATACATTCTCAAAACGGCCGTTACACCTGATCCTGGAGGCGCTGCGCTGCACGCCAAAAAAGCTCTTCTCAACCGCCAGCGCGACACTTTTTGTGGATGGGACCGCCAGCCATTGTGGTCCTGTAGGCCCAAGCTATGAAAAAAATCCGGAGTAGGCGACAAACAAATTTCTGCAAGGCTGGGGCCGTGGAATGGGTGTTTAACGCTCGGTATTTTTTACTCTTTGGTATTGTGGTTGCTTGCGGCTGCAGTTGTACCTCCATGCAGCTGCATCCCTCAACCACGAAATGCCAAGGAGTATAGCATCTCGCCAAACACAAAATGACAAGGAGTAAAGCATCTGGCCAAACACAAAATGCCAAGGAGTATAGCATCTCGCCAGGCACAAAATGTCGTTGTGTATCTGGGCCGAAAATTTGCCTGAATACACAAACTAAGGCATTGCCGGAAGGTGGTTGAAGGGAAACAATGTGGACGAGGAGGAAAACTGCTACTTTCTTTCCCTTAACGTAATCATTATACGCTTTCTATCTGTATATTTAAGGCAAGTTTCTCTCACCGTACAGCTATACTGATCATGCTTTATGTCTGAGGAAAGACAGTCGTACCTTAATAGCAAATTAAAATATATACTATATAGTATAGTAGTATCCTAACACACTTGTGGATGAAGCGACCAGATAACTGTGGGGGGGGGGGGCACAGGATGTCTTCGGGGACATCTGCACCAGTACATGGCTCTCCAGCCAACTTGAGAATCACAATTGAGGGCATACTCACACGGGGACCTATATTCCTAAAATCCCAAAAAAAAGGGGAAAAGCCCGGCCACACGGATCTCCCAAATTCGCAAATGTACTATTCCTGTGCCCATTTGTCAGCGGCCTGGGAAGCCGCGGGGGCAAGGGATTGCGGTCACCTCTGGAAGTGACCGCAAATGCCCTATTTCATTTTTCGTATTTTCTTCGAAAATTGGCAAAAATTCGTTCACAAAAGTTCTTGCACAATTTCTGGATGGCGCCGTGTGACCAGCCAAGTACCAAATCCCCATTTCTCCAGACGGCCTCGACCTTGTCCCATCTGAAAAGAGCAGTGTGACGTGAACCACGCCCAAAACCTCAAATCGGCCCTTCCCAAATCCGCATGTTTTGCGGATTTGGGGTCGCCGTGTGAGTATGCCCTGAGCCTCTCCGAAAAAAGAACGGAGGCTCGGGGCAAGTGGACAAGAATTGCTAGTGGCGCCAGCGAAAACAAAAACAAAATGCTGCGCTGACATGTCGACAAAGTGTGGCACGTAGTGGGAATCCGCCTTGTAAAAGAGAGGCGCGAATGTACTGGTGGTTCAAAATTGGAACCAGACAGAGGGCCTCGCCGCACGGCACAAATAACGAAACGAAACGATCACCAGAGTCGCGAGGCCTCGCGAAGCCCTGATCCACCGTTTCTCTTCGTTTTTTGCCTCACCGCCCCACAGCACACTCGAAAACTCTCGCGACAACGCCCTGGCGAGAGTAGTGCGGGATTGGCGAGAGTAGTGCGGGATTCGCTTCGCTACGGTCCAAATTTGTGGACTACGGTCCAAGTTTTTGGATGGACCTCGGTTGGAGCGATGCAGCACACTCGTGAGATTTCGCAGCTCCTCCACCCTACCAGCGAAGGACCTACGAGTTCGCGAGTGCTGCAGGCAGGGAGGAGTCGGCACGCTCGTGAGGGCTCGCGAACTTGGAGACTGACAGCATTCACGAGTTTTTCCTGACAGAGGTCGTGTGGGTGCTATGCGGCGACTGCTTCACGAAACGAAGTCGTGTTTTTTTTCGTTTCGTGCACCGTGCGGCGAGGCCCAGAGAAGATTAGCAGGGCCCCTGTGCAACAATGACACATGATTCGAGAGATGGTCCAAATAAATAAATAGTTAAAAAATAAAAATACAAAAATTGTGGGGGCGGAGGATTTACCCCGTGCGTAGCCTGGATGATGCTTGTTTGTTATATGTTGTGTTTGGAGGGTTGAGATGTGTGAGAAAGAGAAAGGTCTTGGATTGTTTTGGCGCTATGTGTGTGGGTGTGAGAGAGAGAGAGAGAGGGTACTTCCATCGAACGAATCTACCGCTAGAACACGGAAATATACACTGCCAGTTGTAGTGTATATTTCGATGTTCTAGCGGAAGATTCATTCGATTTTGCTCATCCTATCGATGGAAGTAGCGCGGCGCCAGTTGCGGGGTTGGAGACTTACCTGTTGGCTGGTGCGTTGCTCATCCTATCGATGAAA